TAAACATTTTATTTTTGCCATGTTATTTTTTATGGAAATGAAATGGAATAGAAAATGTCATAAAGAAGCTTTACTGTTACCATTACAGATGCTGTTGCACGAATGGGCAGGCTCGTCCGAGGCAAACCATGGCCTCACAGAAGACCAGCGTGAGGAAAATGTGTTATAGTTTTGCTTATTATCTATAGAGTGAGGAAACCGGGGCTCACATTTTTCAAAGTAGTAGTGATATAAAGTCTCTTTAATTGCCTCTAAATGGTTAATGCCTTAATATGGTTATAAATATATATTGCCATTTAAAAAAAACGATGCTATTTTCCAACCAATCCATCTAATTCCGATGACATTAATAATTTTTTTCTTGACATCCCCGCTAGTAATAATAATATTACTATCCTTTTTAAGTCGTTATAAATTCGACAGACTTAGTACTAACACTTAAAACTTTTGACGAAACGATGGTACTGAATGTTAGAAAATATATCAAAACTACGAGTAAAGCGCAAGGTGATAGAATTACCATGAATATGATATTGCTAGATCTGTGATACATGCTACAGCAATTTTGAAGTGCATCTTTTACGGTGGGTATTTTATTTTATATGTACCAAATAAATCATTTTTCTTTCTTTCATCTCTTTGCATTTTTATTGTACCTTGTATTTTGTATTAATTGATATTAAAGCTTTCAGTCCCGAGACTAATAAAACTTCATCGAACGTAGAACCGTTGGGCTAGCCAGAACCCACGGGTTATTGCATCTATCAAGGGTGGGGCTCTGGGGAATAGTTCGGATTAATACCTGCTGCTGAATTTCCACACCGCACGACGCGTCAAATAGCCAAATATCATCATTACCACTTTGATGGTTGGCGACTGCTAACCATCAAGGTGGTTAGTATGAAATCTTCGTTTTTCACGTAATTTTGCTACCACTTTTTCTGACACACAAGTTATGAAATCAAGTGTCGCCAGCGGTATTATGCTTTTTAAAATTAAGCAGCCGTACTAAATAAATACCTAACCATAAAGATTAAGTAAATGATAAAACGATAGAATACAGATAATGATAGAATGATAAAAACTAAATTTAAGAAAAATGATAAAACTAAAAATAAGTGTATTATAACCAACAGTAACTATTTAGTCAGTTAACTAGGTAGGTTAATAATAATTTACTGTTAAAACATTCAACCCTAACTTTGTTAAATATAAAACCTTCCTATTTTATAATGAAATTGGGATGTTTGTCAACTTTTGAAATATGGCCAACATAAAAACGTCCCCTAAGGCTATAACCATTCATTCGTAAATTGGGCGAAGCAGGCATTATTTCTTTTAGCCCAAATATATTTTCGTAACGCTTTCTCGCTGTCGTTTTTACCTTAATGTTACGACGTCATGACGTTGTCCTTGTCCGTTTTAATATCCGATAGCATCATTATAGCTCATCTAACGATATTTATGAGGCAGCAATATTTCCTTGGCTTAATCGCAAGACACGATAAGATCACTCCAGTTCTATTGAGGTGTATGCTTCATTGAGATAATCAAAACAAAAAACCAAAAAACTTTTAAATGAAACCAAGTTTTGCTTATGAAATACTTCGATTTTTTTTTGTAATTTATGAAAAACTTGACTCAATGAAAATTTGTACATTTTGAAAAATAATAGAAAAGGAAAAACATAACATCGTTGACCATAGCGTATTGAGAAAAAGGTTATCTTGTGGGTGAATGACGTGGTCTGTTCTGTGTCCATGACTGTCTGTCTACTGACAAATACATTGTAATTCCCCCGTTACCTCACTCAAAGAAATAGTAGTATTTTCATCCCACACTAACAGCGTGCATAGTACAGCATTATACCCCGTGCACTATTTTTATTGAAATTGTAGCAGTCTCATATTCCGTCAAAGTATAATCAAGTCAAAATGTAATACGAAATATTTTTTTAAACTCGAATGGAAGATCAGTCGGCATTATAGTAATCAAAAATCGTTTACCTGAATGCAATGAGATAAACGTTACTGTGTAACTTTGAAAATGTAGAGGTCTCTGATTTGTGTCTAGATAGGTGTGTGATAGGTGATATAAATACTTTTTGCTGTCATCAATGTTCGAAAGCCGCTGTTCAAAAGGCAGCGCATTCCACAAAAGAATAGACTGAACAAAGAAAGACTAGTGAATGAAACCAGTACTGTGAGAAGGTCACTGGAGAAGACGACTATGCGTCTAGCGAAAATTATGATGGAATGCACAAAGATATTGAAAGTGAGGAGTTAAGTAACACAGGGTAGAAGAAGAATATAAAGCACAAATATAAAGTGGTTAGTGCTCTTAATGGGCGGTGATGGCGAATAGGTAACGACTTCAGTGGAGAACGATAGAAAGACACCTTTTTAATAAAAAAAATCTAAAAGATTCCTTTTTAATCTTCGTAAACGTACGACCATACGTTTACGAAGATTAAAAAGGAATCGAATACAGTTGTTGAGAAGTCGGTAAAGTTTGTTAAACTGATCTGCATTCAGGTCGAAGTAGCACAAGTCACTATAGATATAGACGATTAAAGGAAGGATGAAGGTATTTCTGGTCTATTTATAGCTTTCCTTTACAATTAATAAAATATCTGTAACCGAAACTATCCGACCCAATACATAATATACTTAGTCGTAGACTTTAAATGCATTATACCTGTATTACGTGTACCGGTATAATCACCACCCTAGGGTTGACTAGTAGATACGACTGTGGTATGGGCACGCAACAGTCTTGGGTAGGTCTGTCCGGGGAGTACCAAGACTTCCCAGAAGAATGCAAAAGGTGGCAAAGGTTGCAAATGTCCATGGGTAGCTGCTGTCACTTAAAATCAGGTGAACCGCCAGCTCGCTTGCCACCTTCTTACATAAAAAATACAAGACTCAAATAAAGGGACGAAACCACTATATTTTGCGTCAACTAATATGTTAGTATTAAATTAAAAATAACGTGAAATGTACTGTATTCTATTGAACGCGATTTGAGTTAATCATATTATAATTTAATTTAAGGGCGGCATCCACGGAAGTACCTGCTTTAATTGATAGCGAAATTTGTAAAGGCTTTCATTATTTGCTTTAGTTAATTTTGTATTTAAATTTTTCATTAATGTTTATCTTCCTACCAAAACAGTCACATTTCTTCATTATTTTATTAGTTCATTTAATTAGTACAGTATTTGTTTAAATAATTTGTACTGATCTGAATTTATTTATCTTTATAATTAGATAAAACTTATGTCAAATTTGGATAATAATATCGAAACCAACATTTTCACCCTTTAAAACCTTTTAGTTTTTTATAAAGAGTAACATTTGTAAATGTCACTGAGTAGTCGTTGAACGACGTTGAAAATAAATGCTCGGAAATAATCTACAGACCACGGGACTCGTATTAAAAACAAAAGAAAAGAAGTTCATATTTTTTCTTTTTTTTTTTCATAAAAAGCGACGAATAAAATACGATAGAATAATAGATTCTTTTTTTTTTTATAAACATGGGGAAGAGAAGCAATTTCACATGTTATGGTATCGGACAGAAAGTACTCATCTTTTCCCCTATACTTATTTTTAGTTGGCCTTTTCATCATTACTTAACTAGGTAATTGATTTTAAATAGCATCCACTTTATATGAAAGTGATTAAAAGAAACTCGGTTAAAACTCACACTTACTTCAATCTTTTGTTTTATATATTCTAGCGAATCCAAGAGAGCATTTCTTTTTTAAAAAGACAAAAATGCTCCTGTCAATTTAATTTTCTAGATTAAATTAATATTCACACCCTTTAACAGAATCACAACTGAGACATAATTGGATAATTGTAACAACTGCATGCGACGACAATCTGGAAGAAAAAGTGCTGGAGGTTCCCTCGGCTTGGACTGATACGACTCAGTGACCGTATAGCATTCCGATTCGAGGTTACCTTAGAGGGCTGGACCTCGGCTCGATCGGTAGGTATTATCTGACTAGAGCTCGCACAGCGGTGAGCAGCGATTTATATACTACTTTTCTTATCTTCGACACAGCCACAACTTTTTGTATTCCATCATTGGCATTGATAACACCTGCTCAGACACTAATTCAAATAATAACTGTTTTTTTTTTTACTTCTATAATATTTACATATTGATTTGACTTTACCGACACCTTCGCCTTTAAAAGTTACATTTTCTGTTTTATTACTATCGACATAAAGCACTTGCACAATATTTGTCTTGGTCATAGTACGAGTAAATCCGGGAAAGTTCCAAGAACAGCTGGCTTTTTAAATATCGAGCCCATAATTCGAGTGATATCAGTTAAATATTCTGTGTCGAACTTAAGGAAAAGTATAAGATAAGAAAAAAGAAAAATAAAAGGAAAAATAATATAGTGATTTTTTTATAATTAATACTTTTATAAATTAAATTTATAAAAGTATTTATAGTCATTCTTTTCATCGTACATGGAAAAATCATGCGACTCTACTGCGATAAGTTCACACCTACTGAAAATACTTTTTCATAATTTATTGTAGATTCAAGTTTCACCCTGGAGCAAGTGAATAAATAAATCAGCATTTAAAATTAGTTCAGAGCCATTAAGGCGCTAGCAATAAGCCTCGTATACTAGGAATTCACGTACAAACAATTAACATTCAAATCGAGGTTGATTTGAACGTAAATTTCCCCAATATAGTAATATTAAGTTCAGAACTGAAGAAAACAAGTTATTTAATACTGATGTTGATAATTTAATTAACCTATTACTTGTAACTACTGCTTAATGTTTTCATTAGCCTATTGTGGATAGACTAAACAAATATAAAACCGTTATGTCAGAAGAAAGCTAGATATAGAATTTAAACAGACCCTTTGCTTTACTACACTTCTTATAAGGTAAGAAACATTAAATAATAGGTCATATCTAGGGTTTACAAGATAAGAGTGAAACTTCGGAAAACGTCGGGTTTTTAATGGAAAAAAGGAGCAAACGAACAGGAGGCACACCTGATGGTAAGTGATCACCGCCGCCCATGAACATATGCAACATCGGAGTACTCCGTATACCCTGTTCACTAATACAATGTTCACTGCACTCTTCTTTTCTTCTTCTTCTTTCCACTTTGAGCTCTTTTACTGACAACAATTAAAAATTAAATTAAGTAGGTTTCATTCTGGCCACGAAATCGCGTTCGTGCAGAAATTCATCAGACACTGGCACATCATTAGGCCAATGATCAGTTTGGAACAACTCAAGTAGCGTAGCGCCCAGCGTGTTGTTTATGTAATTCTAACCGGTCCTCAGTACTTGTCGTAGTCCTCTCATATGTTATTGACCACTTTGGAGATGAGTTTGGGCAGACGGCAGATGTCAGGCATGGAACGCATTTGCGTGCTTTGACGATCATGCACTGCATACTGTAGTTGAGATCTGCCGCGTCAAGTAGCCCTAGAAGTCAGGGTCAGGGAACGTTCTTGGCAGCGGAAAAATAAAATTATTCATCAATATATTATTATACCCACTTTATATTTTGTCACTATTGTACATACTTATGTACAATAGTGACAAAAATACATACGTCAATTAACTCGAAGTACGATTAATTACTTATGTTACAATGTAATACAATGATTAACGATGAATGGAGCTTGGTCTATGAAATTTTGTAAAAGAAAAGACGAAAAGTCTTTCGCCGCTATGGCAATCGCAGGAAATTAATAAGGAATATTTTAATTTTTTTCTAAATATTGTCTTTTTAAACTACTGAACTACTGAAAGTAACCGCAATTAAAGTTGAGTATCCCTTAAATTACTTATATATAAAATCCCTTCAATTATATATAAAGTCTAAATAAATAAATTTTGTTCTCAATTGATTAATAAAGTAAAATCATAAAATAAACCACTTGATATAGGTACCTAGTAGCCATAAAATTAAAATCGATGTGACGCACCAACTGGCCCCGAGGCGGTTTCAAAGTATGATTTTGCAGAACGATTTCCGTATATAGTTAGAAAACTTTTCGCATTAAGGAATATTTAAATTCGTATTATAGAAATGAATATGCATGCATTTATAAAAATGTATAAAACATCACCGTGAGGTATATCTATCTTTTATTTATTTATCTTTGTTGGAGGTAATTTAACTGAAATACATTTTGATTTTACTTTAATTGTAACATTTCTTCGCTTCCCCTCACTAAGACATGTTATAAAGTTGATATTGTTACATAAACCTTATAACATGTGTATGTAAAAATATCTATGTTATAAAAAGCTAAGATGCACAGAATCCATTAGGCCTTGATCTATATTCTAGAAATGCATGCATGTAAACCTACAATACCCGAAGCCTTGGGTCCAAAATAAACTCTCCGTACGAGTATATACAATTTAAAGATGTAAGTAAAATGAAAGAAGTGTGTAAAAATTCATATCCATAGTAGGTATACAGTAGTAAAACATAGTTTTCTGATTTTGTTTTATTTCACAATATTTTTGTAAAATATTTAATGAAAATATTTTACGCATTGTATCTCGTTTTAATTTTCGATTTTCATTTCCCTCCTTTTCCAACCCGTTCCAGCGTTCATGGTCAAGGGGTAGAAACGTCGGGGATTAAAAATCTAAATAATTAAAATGCGATAAAATCCGGAAAATAGTTTCATTTAATATGTATAATATTCGCATAAAAACAAGAAATCAATATCTTTGTAAAGGTTATAAATAATCAAATTATAGAATTCAATCCTGCTTTTTTAATGTGGACACAACTCAAATTTGATTTAATAAGCCAAATGCCATTATCTTCTATTTATTAAATGTGAAACATAATTATCTTAGATGCTTGCTTTGTATAATTATAAGTAGCTCTAACAAATAATTTAATAAGTTAATTTGAGTATGAAACTAAGAGTGTTGGGTTTCTGCTAGTTTTAATATATGAATATTTTCTTTGATTGTGGGTCTATCACTTTATAATAATTGAGAATGTATGTTCTAGGTGTTCTTTTAATCGTTACTAAAACATCAGCTGATTCAAACAGTAACCATATACCAGCCCGCGCAGGCAATCTAAAACGACGCCACGTCAGACGATTCGAAGCAATGACGCGGGCGTTTTGTCTTTGTTCCAAAACCCAAGCTCCATATCGAAGACAAACAAACGACGAGCAGCATATTAATGCGTCGGTACACCATATTGCAGGCACTTTGGCCGGCAGCCCCGGTTAGTAGGCTTCATGCTAATTTGTGCAAAGTAACGATTATTTAGTTACTCTACATTAAAATGATTGTCAGAAAATTATTGTGTCGTTGCATTTGCAATAATAGCCCCGATTCCAGCGATAGTTTATCGTGTACTGCAGGTAAAATTTTATCAGTAATACTAATTATTCTATCATTTTCTCCATTTTCAACTGTTTTAATGTTCTGTTTTACGTATAATATTTTTATACGAAAAAAAAAACATACAATGCTCTATGAGTTTCAAAGTAAATGTAGAATTTCGTTAAATCATAATGCATCGTATTCTTTTTTAAAGTGTAGCTTTACTCTCGAAATAAAAATTGACATACCTAAGGTAAGTTACCTTAACAAGAACATAGGTATTTAAACAATATTTCAATGTTGCCAATATAAATATGAACAATTAATAATAACTATATTTAAAATCATAATGAAAGAAAGGAATTAAAAAACGTGATTCAATAAATTAAAGGAGAAATATTTAAATAAAGAAAGAAAGCGCGGTCAAGTTGCTCACGCATAAGAATCTAATAAATCATCTCTACCCTCGGATATGAAGTAACTGAGTTGCAGGCCACAGGATTCTTGTCTCTTACAGCATTAGAAAAATAATTCCTTTTTTCTTTTTTACACAATACAAAAATTATTCCTATTAAGTTTATTTCTTTATGGCTTCTTTTAGAATTCTGCCACTGTCAGATCAGTAGTCATGAGAGTAACTTTTGATATCTTATCGGATATATCTGTTACATTGATACAAGCAAGTATCGATGAGAGCAGAGCCAACCCCTCTAATCTTATTATTAAATCAAAATCAATGCCACGCATAGGTATATACTATTTTAACTCTGCAATTTCTCCCCCTCCATAAACCTAAATTTGTCGCAGTTAAACACTCAATGACGTTAATAGGTAATAGGCAATCAACGATATCAATAATGGAACTACCAATAAAGCCCGATCCTGCCTTAGTTAAGCTCGCTAGTACACCGCTGAGAATCGATATCAACAATTTTCGGTCCCTGTTAACAATATCTCGATTACCCAGTATTAATATGTAATGCTTTTATATTTGTTAATTATATTCCAGATACAATAGCACAGAGAATAATAATACAAGCTCCTATGAGTGTATGGATGGAAATTAATATATAAACAGCGGATAAAAAAATGGAGTTTAAGATGATTTTTTTAAATTCTCTTCCAGCTTCCTGTTAATTTTTGTTTTCATAATCAGTTTGCTATTGATACTTAATGATATATATTATATTTTGTTACTATTACTATAGTTGAAGAAAATCAGCAATATACTTAATTGGTATAATAGGAATATAATATGAGCTTATCGGATATTTATATAGCAACATTTAATCTTTATTTTTGTATAAGTAAAATACGATAAAATAAAATTTATTAGTTTCAATGGCTTTAAAGAGCTGTTTAAAGTCTTTACGGCATGCTCTTGCATTGAAAGAATAAACATATAAAGTCAAGCTTCATTCACTCGCTGTAAGAATTTCATTTAGGTTCCAGTTCAAAAGAATGCTTTGTTTAGTCTTGTAAAAGAACTTTTTTACAAAAGAATAATGTTAATATTAACGCTGTAGTAAGCTCATAAAGTTGTTAGAGAGTATTATTAATCACATGCGTTTCTTACTTACAGTTATTAGAATATTTAGGCGCAATCTTGCTTTTTTTGTATTATTTTTTTAAATGATAATTTATTTCTACTTTAACTTTTCATGCCATTTCGGAATAGCTTCACCTTATATGAAATGAAATGATATATGAAACGTCTTATATAAAATGGAATGATATACAAAATTGCACAATTGACTTAGCAATCGTATATTGGGCAATCCGTAGATGTATTTGCTATTCCAAAGTGTTTTCCCGACCTTAATGCGTTAGTAATTTTATCCTATAATAACAGTCTAGGTAAATTGTACAAGTATCAAAATTGGACCTACCAAAGACTGTGGATATGAAAGGAATAGGGTTGCTACGATAACCTTATTTAGTTTACAATGTCAGGAGACCACCTACATACTTGAGGATGATTTTGCACTTTGCCAGTGACGAAGATTGATTGATGTTTACGATTGTGTTGAATAGTGTATTATTCAGTAGCGTATATAATATAACACGGCTATGCCAAATAAAGAATAATAAAATTGTATTATTTTTGTTAACTAGTGGTCGCCCAGTGGTCGAAATTCGAACATAATTACTTATACATGGGGTATTGCGTGTATTTTTTTTATTTCTTGTTTTAATGTATTTTATAAGCAAAATGTTTAAAAAACATTAGCATTCTGCACTCCTTCTCTATATACACTATAAGTATTGGTTTTATACTCCTCCGTCTGCGCAACTTTCGTAAAAAGGGGTACTAAGTTTTTGCTTCACGTATTAATATATAGATGTGAGACGAGACAGTGATATTGACAGCCATAAATAAATATAGAACCCACTTGTGTACGCCTCGTGAATTCGATATTGTGACGGGAAATCCAGAGAATATATTCTTATAATTAATTTGCTATTAACCTGATGTTAAGTGATTACCCCCGCCCATTGACCAACTCCAACACCTGACCTGACCGTTACAGATGCGTTGAAAAGCTTTTAAAAATTTGGCCACGGGTACCTCACTCACAAGAAGAAACGCAAAATACTTACACTTCACGCCGGTTTTCTGTGAGGCCGTGGTACATCCCCGAATAAGCCTGACCATTTGTGAAACATTATAAGCTACTGTATGGCCCTATCACTGTAAAATAGTTAAATAATTTTTACTGTTTTAAATTTTCTAAAAGATATTCAATGATAACGATAAGCCTCGCCAAACGCAAAGCAGTATGTATAAATTTATAATTTAAAACCATGAGCCCTTTAATTATCTGTTATGTTAGTGATTAAGAAGCATCAACCTTTCCATGGATTTAGTTTAAAAATACAATTTTCCAAGTGAATTTTTCTTTCTTTTATCCGCTCCGCGATTCACGTCGACAATCCGCTTATGTCACTCTTTGCGATGGGAAGCATAAACTTTTACGAGTATAAACAAATATAAGGTGTGACATGACAGGCCTACCATGTTACACTTATGTTACACTTTCATATTTTACGAGCCAATATGTAACTGTTTCTGCTTGTGTGACTTTAAATAAATGAGTCCTATTTAAATAGTTATATAAAATACTAGCGACCCGCCCCGGCTCTGCGCGGGTGCAATTTATTATACATATAAACCATCCCCTTGAATCACTCTATCTAGTAAAAAAAACCGCATCAAGATCCGTTGCGAAGTTTTAAAGATCTAACCATACATAGGGACAGACAGACAGCGGGAAAGATTTTGCTTTATACTATGTAGTGATAATGCACCAACGTACAGTATAATCCTTGATTTTTACAGGCGGCGCAACAAACAATCGCTCCCTGAAATCCGGCAACAGTCTCATAGACTGGATACGGCTGGGTAATTCGGGAGTCGACCTGACGGGAGTCAGCGGTCGGCCGCGACTAGTTTCTCCGGCTGAACTCAAAAAGCACAACACAAAAAGTAAGTTTATAATTTCGATTATCTACTTTATTGGTTTGCAATTTTTAACAAATCCGCCATCGTTTTTTTAAGCAAGCGCTTCTGCTATGCGACTTGCTTTGGCGGGACAAGTTCTTGCTAACTACACAATAATAATATTATACAGCGTGTCGTTACAACCGCGATAATAAATGAACATACGTCTAACGCTACATGCCAATAATGATAAAAAATATTAACGTTAAGAAAAATACATAATTTAAAAAAAATATTTTTCAAACAAACTAATTAAGTAAAAAGACACAAAAGTTGTAACATCCTATACAACTACAACTAACTGATTCATACATTCAGAGACTTTTTCATTCGTTGCCACAGCGTCGCAATACAAGCCTCGCCTTCTAACAGTGTTTTGTCTCTTTTAAATTCATTCGACCCATTCATATGCTTTGTGACCTATACAACCTTTACGTTACAGTTTTATACGTATGGGTGTTCTAAAATTCTTTGTTGTATTTATAAAGTTATCCTCTATATGTGTGTTCATTTATTGTCGCGATTGTAAAGACACGCTGTATACAAATACGAAGTATTAAAACATCATTGGATCTACAGATAATTGTTTCGGATCTGGGTAGATGTTTGTCCATTTTTTTTAAAAAAAAAAACAATAAACCATTATACCATAATACTAACGATTTTATATAAAAGAAATAAGAATATATAAAAAAATGATTATATAAATACACGTGAGCAGGCGGTTATACTGATGTTAATAACATCACATAACATCACCTGGGGGTTGCAGGTGATGCGTTGCCAACTTTTAAAAACTGTGGAACCCGATGGCTTCACTCAAAAGACGAAACGTAAAAATATAAAACTTCCACTACATGCCACGGCTGTCTTCTGTGATACGGTATTACTTCCCGGTGCGAGCTTGCGTAAGTAGCAAAGGGATGAGTAAATAAGTTAATATTAAATATATGTCTTTGAAGTTATACTTCTTTTTCCGCGTTTGGAAAAATTATGAGAGTAAAATTTTTACGATGCGACAAAAAGCAGCATGAATCATGATGCTTGGTAATCAATATAATCTCGACAATCAATCACAACTTTTTCAATTTTACCAATAGTAACAAAGTAAAGTAACAGCCTATACATGTCCCACTGCTGGGCAAAGGCCTCCTCTATACAGAGGGTATCACGGCATAGTCCACCACGCGGCCCCACTGCGGATTGGCGGACTTCACATATCTTCGAAAAATATATATATTTTTTTAGTTATTATTTTCGAAAATATGCCAGGTTTCCTGACGATGTTTTCCTTCACCGCGGAGCACGTGATAAGTCAGCACTTAAAATTAAAAACTTCATTGGTGCCGGCACCGGGGATCGAACTCAGAAGTATAATTTCTTACGTGCCTACCTAAGTACACACAAACTTTTTTTTTAATGTGGGAAGGTGGCAAGCAAGCGGGCGATTCACCTGGTGTTAAGTGATCATCCGCCGCCCATTGACATTTGCCACACCCATAGGGTTGCAGATGCGTTGGCACCTTTAATAAAGTGGGCCCCGGCTAACTCACTCACCAGACGAAACGCAGAAGTATAACACTTCAACTTCACGCCGGTCTTCTGTGAATTCGTGGTACTTACCCGGACGTATCTGCCCATTCGTGCAACAGCGAAGACTACTGCATGGCCCTACCACAGAACCACAGTGTAAACGAAGTGTGAATATATCTGCTTACCTCCTAAGCAACAAGTGTGTGCTTATGTATATACGTTTATAATGTTTTAAATAATAATAAAAAATGTTTCTGTATATAATTTTACCTGATGACCCGATTGGCGTAGTGGAAAGTAAACCTGTCTCTTACGCTAGAGGGAGTGTGTTCAACCCCACTCTCCTCACTACTGGAAAAATATTGTGTGTTGAACATAATGTATGCTTATTTACAAAACTTATTTTTTTTTAACTTTAAGTATTTATTTTGAACTTTATTTACTATTTATTTACAAAAGAACAATACTAATATGTATTTCAAAGAGCAATACTAATGTGTATTTATTTACAAAAAAATATTTAAGTATGCTTATCGGTTGTTTCATAATACAAGCTTTGCTTAATTTGGGACTATTATATGCAAAGCTTGTATTATATACCTTGTGTAAAAATATGTCCCAAAATATTTATTTATTTCTTAATAAGTAAACTACACATATATTTCTACGCTATAAAAGTCTACGTTGTGATTTTGGTTAAAAAAAGGGAATAATCAAAAGACCTGATGATTTTTTTTCTCAGGTGACGCTTGGTTAGCGATTCGAGGACGTGTTTACAACATCACACATTATCTGCCTTACCATCCTGGAGGTATATACCATATATTACAATCTCCACATCAAAACCACCCTCTTCTAAGACTCTACTTCAAAATGGAATAAAGAATGCGGTAACCTGTAAACGAACATTGTGACATAAAAATATCTTTTAATATGTTTAGTACCTGGAAGATCTGTCTTTTTTTCGCATAAAAGAACGAACATTAAAAAAGTGAAAAAATAAATAAAACACCTGGACTCGAACCGGGGTATATATATATATATATGTGTGTGTATACATATATATACAAGAATTGCTCATTTAAAGGAATTATATATAATAATATAGATAGATATGTGTAACACATCTGCAGTTTAATCTGCTTCTTTTAAAAATCTACCATTTGAGAAAAATAACGTGGTAATTACCGTCAATGAGAAATATTCTTAAAGGCCTCCTAAACCTCAAATAATACTTTCAATGGCAAGTTTTCTGGAAAATAGTTAGAACCCTTCAAAATGTGTGATAGATAGGTAACTATTAGAATAACAAAATTGTTGAATAACTCTAATAATAAAATTATATATAACTATGCATCTCTCAAATTGAATGCTCTGGGTCACATGAAAAGCATTTTTGTGTTCAATAGACTTAAAAAGTTTTAAGGCTAAAATCCAACTTTAAATCTGAACTCGGTAATTAATTACGTGGGAATCGCACAATCAAAAACTAGGTCAACATTTCTCCTCCACTAAACTACTTGAACCCGTGAGCTTACTATGCTTGAGGCGGTAATGTGGGTCAGAAAAAAATACGTCTCTTAGTGATTATTACACGATTGCGATTGATTACAATTAGTAGTCACTTAAGGAAAAATACTGATTTTTTCTTTAGTGGCGACGAAAAAAGTTTCAAGCAATCTGTTAAGTATACCGCTTCTTTTTTTAGGCGCGGAAGAATTAATGCGTGGTGCGGGTAGAGATGCAACTGATATATTTGATAAAATTCACCCGTGGATCAACTACGACGCTCTCCTCATAAAGTGTTTTGTTGGTACACTTCGTTTGGAAACGCCTAATAATGAAGTATTTTACGACGCAGCTGACTCCTTTCCCGAATCCGATCTTCTTATACCGTCGTCGGCAGGACAAGGGGTTAGAAATAAGGTAATGAACTACACTACCCCGCCCAGAAAGAAATCGCCATATATACTGACAGAGAACTCTTCGAACACAAATATCATCGATTTGGAGGAGTTGTCACTGCCCGGCTATCTGGGTACTTTAAAGGTCGTTAAAAAGGAAGAGTCCATCGAAGATATACCACCCGCGCTTTTTTATGACTGGGAGCAGACTGCAACCGATTTGACAGTTGCTCTGTACACTGGACCCTCAAGCAACCCTGGTGCTTATTCACGTATTTCCGACCGCATGCTATTGATTGAGGTTACAATCAACGGTTGGGTGAGAACTATTAAATTGAGACCAGAGGACGATTTACAAGAACCAATACACACAACTACATGTCTCACGAGTGGAAAAATACAGGTATGAAAAATCATATAAAGAAAATTGACCTGAAGTTAGCTTAGTTCCTACTCACGGAATAGAAAAACTATTTTCTCTATTCCGTGGTTTTAGTTTAGTTTGCTAAGTGAAAATTATAAACATATTGTACATAACACATAAACATAACATTAAATTGAATGTGAAAAACGATAAGTTAAAAATAAAAGCAAGATTTTATATTTCTTGTAAATTTAAATTGTTATAATTTATAATGTTATGGGCGTATAATCAATCAATCAATCAAATATCTTTATTCAAATAGACGCTTGCGCGTTCTTATGAATCGACAAATTTTATATAAAAAAAATTATCTATAGGTTCGTAAGGTACCACCGGTTCGCAAAGCAGTTTCTGTTTAGAAGAGACCGACAAGAAACTCAACAGTTGCTCTTTTTCAAAAATATCAGTTTACAATATAATATACCGATATAATAGTCTTATTCTAGCCTACGTGAGTATTAACAGTATTAACTCCACACATTGGCGTCGTCGTCATATGCTTTAACCATAAGTTGACTTTTGATTGTAAAATCATAAATATATAAAGTAACAGACTGTATACGTCCCACATCTGGGCAAAGGCCTCCTTAGTATAGAAGGTATTAAGGCATAGTCCAACACGCGTGACGCGACCCCACTGCGGATTTATAGACTTCACACATGTTCGAAATATTTTTTTCTGTAATTATTTCGAAAATATGCAGGTTTCCTCACGATGTTCACCTTCATCGCAAAACACTTGACTTGCATGTGATGAAATACAATTAAACATAAAGATTACAAATACTAAACATTGTTAAATAAAACAAATGTAGGTCTTATTGACGCGTTTGTCATGATTATATTTTACGACAAAGTTTTATTTAACGATATATTGTATAATTAAATAATCAAAGAAACGTTAAATCCTTCAACTCACTTGGGGCCTTAACGCTGTGTAATTTCTATTACCCTCTGTATTAAGGAGTCCTTTTTGCCACTTTGTAGCTTTAAGAGCTCTTGCGTCTTTAATTATAGAGATGGTCGAGGGACAGATTTCATTAAGTCCTTTGTGTCAACACCTTATTGAATCTGTAAATGATGTTTAAATGGAAGAGTAAATTATTACATAAAAAAGTATATTGGTATGAGTAGTAGGTATAAACACCAAACGAAATCTTTTTAAACCTTCTAGCACTTAAAAATAGCACTGCTAATAGTGGAGCTAAAGTGAAATGACGTACTTTTGTTTTTCATTTTAGATAAGAGTACATAAAGCAGACCCTAAACCATGGAAGAGCTGCGGTGAAGTTATGATAGGCACAGCCTCAAAAATGTCTTCACGTCAAATCATGGAGTACAGAGTTGTCTACAACAAAAGATTAACGCACGATACCAGATTGCTGACGATAGTCCCGCGTAATGGATGTATTTTCTTTCCTCTCGGTCATCATATTCGAGTACATCAAACAGTAGCTGGTAAGAGCGAATCTAAGTTTAAAAATGGAAAAACATGTATGGACATTGTTAAAAGTTTTCGAAGTGAAAAACTTCTTTAGGCGCGTTGAGCACTTTTTGAGTAAACACAAATCGTGGAACTCGCGTCATCGTCACCGAACGCATTTTATTTATTTTAATTATTATTATTTTCAACTTTAAAAATTATTTTAACATAGTAATTACTTTTCACTTGTATCGGCAGTCCCTAAAAACCGCCCATTTTGCATGTTTTTTTAACATTTTAATGAATGCACATATTTAATGCAGCAATTAATAATGTAATTTTAAAACAATATAACAGTTAAACTTTTAGATATTTGCTTTATTTTGTACTTTTCTCAAGTTCATAGTGCAAATCGAGTTCGTGCACATATCGATTTGACCCCGTTAACTTTAATATTTTTGATTTGTGTTTTTTGGATAATAAAGTCAATTTCATTGTTTTGGAAGTGAGAAAATTTTCATACTATTTGTATTAAACATTTTTTGATTACATATAGTGTGTATGAAAACATTTATATTTATTTATATATATTGCGTATTTTGTATACTTCCAGGTTCCGAGTATGTACGATCGTACACCCCTTTGACCTGGGACTGCGATCCACGAATGGATCACGCCACGCAACTGCAACTTGCTGTGAAGCGGTATGATAATGGTATACTGTCACCGGTACTCAGTTCTTTAAGCACTGGAGACGTCCTTAAAGTATCAGGCCCATATGGGAACTTCCAATTACATAAGGTATATATATTTTTATACAAGTTTAATAATTTAATACTATTTAATATCATTTTCATGTTGCTAACATTCTTAGCACCGTGTATGAAGATGTAGATTTTTTACATTAAATTATGAAATCTTCACTAAATCTAGCACTAAAATATATCACTCTCGTATATGTACCCGATGTGGATTAATAAGATTCACCATATACTCACTTTGGGACCAAATTAGGTGGTTGAAACGCGGATATAGAAACTCTCCTTCTACCACAATAGAGTCCAACTGATGATGAAGGCGCTTGTTTTTTATATTAGGTGAAAATAATTACGTGGCTCCTAATTTAAAAATATTAATTGTATTAATTATATTTCCTTATTACAGCTAAAAACGATCAAAACCATCTACCTACTAGCGGCTGGAACCGGTATTACTCCAATGCTCGGATTAATTAAATTTCTACTCGCAAAATCGAATCCTGCATGGTTAGTATATTAACATAAACTTCAAGTTTAAGTGCTGAAATTTACATGATCATGTCTTGTGGTCTTGTGTAGGCTCACTTGTAAACTACAAATTTACTCATACTTTTTATATTAAAGCTAATTTATATCTAATAACATTCATATAGTATGAACATAATTCATCAACTCTGGTACGTATTAAGTGGTCTGCTAGCTATATCATATGAATTATTACTTGTGAATAATATACGAAAATTATAAACACTGTGGTTCAAACGCATAAATTTTTAGTGATTTCTATAAGATCCAATAGGAATTTTTAGATTATATATTATTAAGAGCAAGCGCATTAATATATTATTAGGGCCGGCCCTTTTGGCCGTTTTTTTTATTTCTTCGAAGGAAATACAAATGCGTTGCCAGGCTGGGGCATAGACTCTTAAGTATCCGCCAGCATTTGACTCGCACATGATATTAGTTTGTGGCAGGAAATTTTTTAAAAAACGAACGGACGTACACTCCAGCCATCAATACTCATATAGGTTTTAGGTGTTTTGTCGAGTTGCACGACAGTGGAATTCAGCACTAGGTGGGTATTAATCCAATTCTCAGAGCACTCCTCTTGGTAAAGGAGATAAAATATACAAAGGGACACTAAAACTACATCTCCCCTTGCAAAAGGTCTATGTCGTTAAAATCAAGGAGCTCTTGCCAGGGTGCCACAAGCCAGAGATGAACTATTATTCCATGTCTGGCTGACTTCGCTTTACGAAGTTACAGGCGATGCGCCGGGAAAAAATACTGTCTGGGTTAATATGGACACATGGCGACGTTGTGGCGGGGAGTGTTCTAAGGAGATTCTTTTTTTTTATGTAAGAAAATAGCAAACGAGCTGGCCGTTCACCTGATGTTAAGTGATAACCGCCGCCCATGGACATTTGCAACAGTGTTGCGTGGCCCTACCACCTTTGAGATGCAATGAAGTTTCCTTATAACAATAAACTCGCAAACCTATGTCCTCTTAATGTTTCATCCTTACACGGAAAAGTTCTTCTAATAATAAAAGGTATATTATGTCTATTGATGCTAAAAATTTTAATTGCAGTGAATCTATTTATTTACTCTTCTTCAACAAAACGGAAAAGGATATTATGTTTCAAGAATTATTGGAATCTTTGGCAAATACGGATAATAGGTAAAATATTATGTTTTAATGTAAACTTGTTAATGATAACGTCACCATACCATCCGTTAAACATTCTGAAAAAAAAAACTTTTACTCAATCAATATCACTAAAAAAAGGAATTATATCTGCTTTATTTTATTTGCACTGCAAATATACCTGTTTTACCGTCACCAGTTTTTAACATTTTAATTCATGATAACATCAATAATTCATCATCATCCTCCTTGCCCTTATCCCCTTCTGCATTTTATTATTGTGAGAGGGTGGCAAGCAAGCTGGCGGTTCACCTGATGTTAAGTGATAGCCGTCGCCCATGGATATTTGAAAAATACGTTGCAGATATGTTGCCTTTTAATAAAGCGGGCCCCGGCTACCTCACTCACCGGATGAATTGCAGAAGTATGACACTTGCACTTCACGCCAGTCTTGTGTGAGGGTGGGGTCGGCACAACATTTGAATCATGTTGTTAGTGGTTTTGGCTAGGTATTTTACGACCGGCCGCCTGTCTGTCGCAACCCTCCTTGAGAATAAATACCCAGATCCGCAGCAATTACCTGTGGGTAACACAAATACGTATCCCGTGTGTGAATCGAACCCACGACCCACCACACTTGTTTATAAAACATTGATCGTACATATTACTTTATATTTTCATATCCCAATTCCCGCAGATTCTACGTTGTCCACATTCTATCCAACGCCAGTTCTGTGTGGACGGGTCGAAAAGGACGGATCAACGCTACACTCCTGTCGGAAATAATGGACGAAGGCGACATGTTCGGCAATGAAGACTCGCGTTTCGCTGTCATCTGTGGACCAAAGGAATTCACATTCGCCTCTCTGAACGTACTACGATGTCTCGGAATGGAGGAATGCTTCATACATGTGTTTGTTGGTTAATAAATTTTTAAAGAACGATGCATTACCAGATCAGCAATAATCTTAATTTCACTACTAGGCATTGGAGTAAAAACAAAATAGAAATAGTCGCAACGAAAAATTGTTGTGCTGCTTAAAAATATTTTATTTAAAATAATTCATGTGTCCTAATAAAGTCCATTAAAGGCCATGTGACTATGTGTGAATGTGTCTAATTCAATATCACTGGAGAGATACTTTCTTTTAGTACTCAAGAGAAATTTCTCTTTACGACAGATAACTTCAGTATTAAAAGAAAGTATCCCTCCAGATAATTTCTCTAACTACTAAGAAGAAATTATGTAAGTAATCAATAAAATTTGAAAATAGTGATCTCTTTAATTTGGTATGTTTTATCTGGTATTTATACCTTTTTACAGTTAAAAGGTTTGAAAACAAACACAAGACGTAAGGAACATAATTATAATACAACAAAACATTATGTTACACATTCCAACTGACGTAAATGCTCGAACAGTCATTAAACCAACACAGCACGCACCCTTGGTGTTGCACTCTCATACGCCGTTACGGTGTAATAAATTAATAATAAAGTAAAACAAGCATCGTAAACTAATGAACTTAAGCGAAAGCGATAAAATTCTGTAGCATTGTCTAACCCTAACACTCGGAGCAAAAGTTATTCAAAGTTATTCGCGTGTATTTTAGTGGTTTGTTATGACGTTTCATCTTTTCAAACAGTTTTCAATTGTAATTGTATTGCTACGTTTTTGGATTTTAATGTGCAACAATGATAGACCGAGGAATTAAAAATAAAAGAACTCGAGTTTATGACAGCAAAAAAAAAACAAAATAAGAATTGCCAGCTAAGATTTTCATTCAAATCATCACTCAAAAGTTACGTAGATAAAAAAAATATAATTAAAGGTTAAAAGAACGCCAACTATAGTGTACATACACTGTATGTATTATCGTTAACTTATCCTATCATTAACTAACAATTATATGTATAATTAGCTTGAATAAATGATTATACTATTTTTTATAGTTCAACATAAAAAAATCATTTGTGTTAACATAAGAAATTATTATGCTGAACATCTCATTACATAAACACATGGAACACCTTAATAATTTTTGCCCTAAGTAATTAAGTTATCCTAAGTTAATTATTATCAATCAAGTTACGAGTTAAGCATGTACATAATAGAAATCATGTAGACCAATGTTTGAGAGCAGAATGTTGTTTAGATCGTAGGTAGTATCACTTTAATGTCAAAAAAGGACCTTGCAGTGCCAAGTATAACAATAACGATTTTATACATACCAAGATACAAATTTTACAAATATATTTACACCCAGACATTTTTTACAAAATTCAATCACCACATCTCCTTACAGTCATGATATTTAGCTTGAGTCCGTTTTACATTTTTAAGTACAAGATATGCAGTTTTTACCACTCGTTTAATTTTAAAATACAAATATTTTGAAATGTTATTTCCATTAACTTATTGACATTTAAGCATACAGTGACACCTAGAATGGACATAAAATATTTATTTGCATATAACCAAAACGTTAAACTAAAACCAGACAAAAACTTATATGACATCATATTATATTTAAATCCATTACATATCTTATTTCTTATTGACATATTTCCCTATGATATAAATAACAGCAACATAAAATGCTTATTAAATATTTGACCGTAACTTTATAACTAGCTTATTACGTCTGGGTTGTATACGTTAATATGCAAAGTTTATGTAGAATCTTTACACTGAATAAAATATACGCTCCCGTTGTTTGTACGCTTAGATCTTTTAAACTACGACACGGATTTAATGCAGTTTTCAGCAATAGATAGTGATAGAAGGCGAAGGTTTATATTGCGCCCGTGCAAAGCCGGGGCGGGTCGCTAGTATAATATAGAATAAATCTTACGTAACGGCATCCCCGAAATATCGGACCCTTTGCAGCGTTCATGGTCACGGGACAGAAACGTCGGAAATTAAAAATCAAAATTAAAACGCGATGAAATCCATGAAATAGGTTCATTTAATATGTATAATATTCGCGTAAAAACAAGAAATCTATAGGATAATATCTATATATATACAAGTTTGATTATCAAAAACATCATTAGTCCCATACATATTAAAAATTTAGAAGATTATAGAGAACTTAGAGATTAGCTTTACGTAAAGAATTTTGTGAGCAGATTGTGCAAAATAGGGTTTACTGAAAATCATAAATCAACAGCCTCAATTATCTGAAGACCAGTAAGACAGTATTGACAAAAATCATTCATTCCTGTTTCAAATAAACTAAAAGCAAAAAACAGGAAGAAATAAATTTCAACCCCACGAAACATAAGGTTCTTCTATTCAATAATCAAAAATAATAATAAAACAAACACTATACACTGTCATCCCTTCTTTGTAGGATATCTACATTTATAACAACACTTTATATCACAATTATTTATTAGAGTTGCGACAGTGACCGGAATGAGCCGCTATACTCTCTTGTAGCTATGTATTGCTTCCAAATTATAGTAACAATTACAAGTACTGATATAAACAGAAAAGAGTAACTTTTCTTTTTTGTCTCCATTGTTTAGACCCCACAATGGTATATTCCTTTACATCACTTATATCTCCATAAAGAACTTCCTTTGGTCGATTTTCGAAACTGTCATCTGTAGTTAGTCTGTAGTAGCGCGTTCGTAGTTGAACGTGAACTTTTTCAAGTATCGCCATATACAATTTGATTGCTGAATCTACTGTTAAAAGAACGGACGTGATACGTACATTTACCAACATACCCGTTATTGAAAACTGTGCAAGTTTGATCCATTGAGACATCTAAAACCTGATATTACTCTGAGAGCTTGTTGATGTTTGCAAGAAGCTACTTCAAAAGTGGGCTGGAATGGGCTACGCTTTAAAAGCCATTCAATGTAATTTATTGGTCAGCGACACGTCACTTCATCTGGGCATACAACACCCGAATGACAATTAAAACAATCTGTTTAAGCGTTTGTGTCATTGACGAACAACACATCGCGGTCCTTGAGGCCAGCTTCGTGCAAATTAGAATTCCCACGCGCCACAACACGCTTTGGAAAGTTGGTCGTGATTTCAAACTCCTCGGGCGACTGAGGGTGGCTGAACACGAAGTCATACAAATCCTGAAACATTTATTGGTAAAATTAATAAGAACTTAGGATAATCATATTTGGAAACAACGTGGTGGAGGGGCGGATTTACCGCGCCTTGGTCACCCTCGATGAAGTGCGGAGGGTCTTATACAAGAACGGATTTCAAGCTCCTGGTCCTGGACCTGCATTAGTCCTTTGCCCGCACAAATGGGTGCGAATACAAGGTCGCCACTATATACTTAGATAGGTATATACATAGATAAGTCAGCCCTGTAGTTGGGCACATATAACAGCATTAAGGTAAAATATATAAGTAATACACTGTGTTCATGGGAGATCAGGCCCCGACATTCCATTTTCGAAGGCCCGGTAGAGGCGGTATCATGAATTGATCACGGGGTGAGGCGGAACTGCGAAGGTATTGGCAACTGTCAGTTCCACTTATTTAGTACAAACACGTTGTTCTTAACATACTGAGGGTAGGAACCCGACATAACCCAGTCTACAGCAAGTCTCCAAGATATTTTTTTGATGGTTTCCACCCTGAAAAATAATTATATATAAATAGGTATTCCCCCATCTTAAAGGCACTTTCCCAATCAACCTATTCGCAATCCAAAGTAACCAACTCAGTACACACAGACACTAATTCTCAGATGGGAAGTGTGTGGTCACATCTCTTGAAAGGCTCTCAAAACCTCAAACCAATATACTTGGGCCCAGTGCTGTGTACCGCAGTGCCGGCTTTTCTCCGAAAACTGGATGAAAATAAAATAGTTTGTTTTTGTAAGTCGATGGAGGTGAACTAGCCTGTGTCGTGTGGCCAAGGGTGAAACGTCGCGTTAGCCGCTCCCCACCCGGCAGCCGGATTAGCAGCACTACAGTTTCCGCACCTGGCTCAGGCTCGCTTGGCAGCCGCGATGCCATCGCAGCACGAGCTTGTATCAACTGCGGAGGAATTGCGTTTACCATATGGTTATTGCCATAAGTTATTATTAAGTAATTACTCAGCTAGATTGATAGAGAAAGCATAAGACATGTGCTAATGTTCTGATCTAATGTTACATATTAATGTAGTTGCTTTGAACCTTCGGTAACTGGCTGCCTACAATTTTTTTAGTAAAACCACTGCCATTGCACATAATCTGAAATTTGGATTTCTTTTAACACCAAGCGCAATTGACAAGATCTGAATGGCCTTAATTTATCTGCCAAATATCGGTTTCAATTTTTACATTTAAAGTTGTCGTACTAGCAAGTGGTTTATGTTTTAATGTTCAATCTTAAGTGCAGAGATTAGCACTATAAAAAACTTAAAAATTTTTAAAAAGCAATGGCGACATCTCTCGTTCGAATTATCGTTGTAAAACGATATTCGAAATTGTTTGTATGCTGGAAAGGATATAACAATAGATGCGCCAAGTATTGCTTCAAATGCTAAATAACAATGTAGAAGGAAGGCGTTAAGATTTTCGTCGCTGTGGCTATCAGCCGTTCAACTCAGTGGCTAGAGCGTCAGGCCGCGAATGCCGAAGACGTGGGTTCGATTCCCACAGCGGCGACAATCTTTTCGTACTTTTTCTACATGTTTTAATGTTCATTCAACCCATTCATATGCTTTGTGACCTTTACAAATGAACTTTAACGTTACAGTTTTATACGTAAAAGTTCAGTTCTAAAATTGTTTGTTTTGAAAAATTTTATAACTCAGTAAATATTGATGTTTAAAGAATGTAAATGTTTAATACAATTTTAAAAAGTTATCCTCTATATGTGTGTTCATTTATTGTGGCGATTGTAAAGACACACTGTATAATAATAATGAGAAACAAGTATAATAACTATGAGGTAGCTGTAATGAGAAGTATAATGTGGCAAGAATGAGAAGTCAGCTCCATCAATGGCCCACCTCCTGTTTGTGCCTCTCCTCCTGCTGGCGGCGTTGAAGGTCCTCGTTCTCCCGCTGAGCAATGGCTTCCCTGGCGGCTGCCTTGCGCCTCTCCTTCTCCTGATCGGCCGCCAGCGATTCTGCGTAAGCCTCGTCCTGTGCTGCACGTAGACGAGCCGTCACTTCCCGCTCCACTCTATTAATTATTCATAGACAAAGTGATTTTAAAATAAAGACTAAAGATCCATTAACTCACAATTTATTATAAAAATACGACTATTCCCAAGAAAAATTGCAATAATTTAATAATTCAAATATACAATATAATTCATAAAAATTCATTATGCTGTATCAAAAAACAAACATCAATACAAATACTCTGGCAGTGTATGTTACAGTACTCAACAAGTATTTAAAATTATCTAGTATAAAAACCAAATTTTAATTTAACTATAACATTAGAGAATCATTCATTGTAATCTGACCAGCACTATAGAAGTGGGTTTACTACACATATTAATATATATTCACGAGTATTACTTCACAATAATTAAGGGTGTTAGCAATAATAGAATATTAAAAGCAATCCTTCATGGCGAAGATAAAAATTCAATGTCATACAATATTTAAAAGTACTTAATGTATAACATTCATATAGATAGCAGAAATCATTAGATGTTTGTGCTCACCTGTCGGCCCTGGCTGCAGCCAAATGCGGTTCATTGTCACTAACGACCCTCCGGAGTCGCTGCAATAACTGTTGGGGGGAGCATGCACCCTCACTCCTAGCAACCACGGTCATCCGATGCTCTCGCATGCAAACCACACAGAGTAGCGGATATCTCCGACCACCAACAGACTGAGCCACACGCCATCCTTCTGAACTGTCTACTGAACAGCCCCAGAATAGAGCGTGTGTGTTAATATATTGAATGATCTCTGGATCCCCCAGTGTGGTCCTGGAAAGGAACAAAAATGACAACATTTCAAAATCATTACCAATTTTAATTTTTTAAAATTTTATTTAGTACATCTTGAATTTATTTATATAATTCCTTTTTAATAAAATTTGAATATACAAATGTGCACTGTGATAAGAATAGTACAATGGACTATAGTAAGTACTAGCAAATAAAATTGCTATGTCATGTCAAACAGCTGTTTTTTTGTTTCGAAATCAAACCACAATTTGTTGCTTACTCAATTTAAATATATGCCATTAATAATATTGGAAAAAATAAGAAAAGAAATTTGTATAAAAGGCATATTTACTAAATAGAATGTGAATTTATAAAAAAAACTAGCCTAATTTAATTATATACCTGCAAAACTGCTGAGTTTCATTTGTTGATTCTGAGTGTAGATACACAATCAGGAATCTCAATTCATTTTTGGCATCATTAAGAGCCTGTGCATATGTGCCTTGATAGAACACTGGATGTGGATTAAAACGAGATGTGTAGTTATTAATGAAACCCACCACATCACCTAGGGGGTCTGTCACCACTGAAACAAATGCTTAAGATTAGCTAAAAAAATATGTTTTCAAAAATAATCAAACATAAATTTTTATATGATTTTCAAAAAAAAATTAAACATGAAATACTTGAGAGACTTACACCTTCTTTCATCATTTCTGATAAAACTTAATAATAAATTGAGTACAGAGGATATAGTGCTATAGCACATAGATACAACTAGATTCACAACATATCGCAAAAGCCCTCTGACACCTCCAGGTCCTTCTGGTTGGTCATCTGTAAATACTTGCTGTGCTATGTGGTCATGCACTACAGGTGGTGCCCTTGCTTCTGTAGCAAATACCGAGGGCCTTCCTTCCCTTATATTCAGTTGTTCTTGTATAGCCACCTAAGAAAAGATTTAAAAATATTAACAGAAACAAAAACAATAATTATTACAAGATGCAATGTATGCTAATAAATTACAACGCCTACTAAAATAGGACAGAACAAACTACGAATCAGACTGTATTTGTAAAAAAAATTATACAACCCAATGGTTCACTTTATGTTAAGTACTTACTACCGCCTTTAGACATTTATTATACTAGTAGATCTATTGCAAATCCACTAAAATATTTGTGTGTGACCATGATTGCCTCACTAATCTGAAGAATAAAATACAAATGCTTCCAATTTTAAGTTACGATTTCTGTGAGCCAAATGTACTTATTCAAGATGGGGCTGCCCATTAGAAAACTGCAGACGATTCTGCAGCATTAGCTACAACTTATTTGCAAGTTCAGGTAAGATAGTGATTAGTAGGATGAACTGTATTATTTTTACATTAAAATAATTGTTATATGCACTGAAGTTTATATTAGCAAATTTAGAGGTAATTGTTTACCATCTTAATCACCGTTTTTTTAGTTTACAAAAAAAAATTAATTGTATAAATGAAATGTCACTAATGAAATAATTCAAGTTTAAATCTATGCAAACTGCTAGTTTTCGGGGAAAACCTAAAATTTGTACAAGACAAATTAGTCATACATAAATTACTTTGAATAAAAAGTTTTGACACCAAAACATGATGTGTTACAAAAATGAGTGACCTTATTTTTTAGATTACAAATGAAGCAGAAAAATTTTAAGGCCGTATTACCTCCAAATCCCATTGATGCCTTTGTAAAACATCTCGGCATATTGACATATCTTCTATTCCAGTTAAATCTTGGAACTGCAATATTTTATCAGTTTGCTCGGGCGTCAAACCCAAAGCATTGTCTTCGAGATCCATTGCGCCGTTAAAAAAATAAAGTTATGTTTTAATTCGTTCTTACAAAAGAAAAATTACATTCATATGTACTTTTGAAACAAATAGAACAATATTTAATAATAAACTACAATGAAAATAATATAACGCCTCTCATTATGGTGCCTACGAAGACAAGACAAGCAAGACGAGCGAGCATAGACTAAGTAAATGTAATAGAGCCGAAAGCGCGAGAGCGTAGAGAAGAGAAAAACGTATATAAAACTTTTCTATTTTCCTTTCTACTCTATATTTAGAAACAGAGTAAATAGAAGTTTGTAAATTCGCAATTTTTATAAATTGCATAACTCTGGAACTGTTACACTCATAATGCAAATGACCGCGCCTTCTTCAGCTTAAGCTAGGAGGTTAGCATACTTTTTGGGTTCGTAGGTCCTCTCGAACATACCAGAGCGCCTCTGAACCTCTTAATTTTGGCTAAAGCTATAGAAAAGTTAGCTATAGCATTGCAATTCTAAAGGTTTTTAAATGTCAAAATTTGGCAAGTGTGCAGGCAATCCTTTCGGTGGTAGGGCCACGCAACAGTTTTCACTGTAGCACGAATGGGCAGGTCCGTCCGGATAAGTACCACGACCTCACAGCAGACCGGCGTAAAGTAGAAGTGTTGCACTTTTGCGTTTCGTCTGGTGAGTGAGGTAGCTGGAGCCCTCATTATTAAGAGGTGGCAACGAATCTGCAACCCTATGGGTGTTGCAAATGTCCATGGGCAGGCGGTTATCACATAACATCAGGTAAATCGCCAGCTCGTTTGCCACTTTCTACCATAAAAAAAAAAGTTCTTATTTCAATGTTCTAATGTTAAATGATTACCGCCCCCCATCTGCATATAAAATACCAGAGGGTTGCAGATTGCAGATAAATTGCCAAATTTAAAAAACCGTGGAACCTAGTGACTTCACTCACAATAAGAAACGCAAAAGTATAAGACTACCATTACAGATCGCGGTCATTCGCGGACGTGACGTTAACTCTTATTTGAAACGCAAAATACATTCTGTACATTTACTTTCAGTACTTAGCGAATTAAACTCTGGACATCGCCCGGTTAAATTACCACTAGGCCAGCCAGGCACGACTGTCTCAATTAAAAACCGAGCAGCCTTCGTACTCTGTCGCCTTTATCCTCAAATAAATAAAACGTCAAAAAGTCCCTTCGGAACAAGTTGACTTACACCGCCATTACAATACACCGGCTTCAGGTTATCCAGAATTGATTTTTGAGTAGAGCTATAGAAGAAACGTGTTTCATGCGCAACATCGACTTACATATATTTCTTTTCGCTTCTTGCTCTCTTCTCGTCTTCTACCTGTCGCTCAATACCTGAAGTCGGCGTCGCGTCACTACTTCGAGTCCGCCACCGCGCATCCCAATCCGTTAGTCGTAGGCGCCGTCACCTACAGACCCCTACCGCTAGGTACGTTTGCGGCGGAGCAAATGGCTTAGACCGCGATACGTCCTGGATTTCCCTGACGTTAAGACGACTATCGCCATCGACAGGATAAAGTAAATCAAAAGGAAACACACAAAAACACACTGCACTCGTCGGCGAATGCGGCAAACATATACTAAGTTCCGCCACGTACCTAGCAGGTTTTCCCCCGTTAATGATAGAAGCGTTGCTGGGGTTTCTTTCACCGCTTCTTCTCCCAGGGCCAACGCTTTACTTTCTCGTCAGACTATAGCTACCGATCGAACCAAGGTCCGGCCCTCGAATCGGATTGCTTGGAACGTACGCTAAAGCGACCTAAGAGCTTGGCGGCCTCCCAAACTGGTGAAAATAATGATAGCGTGATAGTTCGATGCGAGGCTCCCTCAGGAGCCCCAGAGCTTAGTCACTCATAATCAAGGTACAAGCTAGGTGCCCTCAGACTCAGCGTGCAGCCACCTCAAGCCCGGTGGTCTTTAAAGGCCCTTCAAGGTCAACAGTGGACTCCAGACAAAAAAAAAACGCGCCCTTGCCTAGTGAGAGCGGGTGTTCCCCAAGGATGGGTACATTCCCCGACCCTTGACTATTTCCATTATATATTTTTCTTAACGTTCTTTGTGTCTTAAATAGCCACCTCACTTTTTATACTTTGGTATTTCTTTTCTGCTTTGCTTGAGGTGGACATTCATGAAGATCATAAGCAGGAGGTTAATTGCTTGAACGTACATTTCAGGGTCTAAGATCCACTTAGTAAAATTTAAATAATCTTATGTCTATCTTTACAAAATCACGCTAATTTTGGTAAAGTTTTTAAACAAATTTTATTTTCTGTTTCAATTGTTGATTATAATATTGCTGATTTGAAAATTACAGGATGGCTTGATTTTCATAAGACAGATGGATCTTCTTCAGGATTCTCATATAAATAATCAGCCTGAAACGAAAACTATAATTTAATAAAAATAGTCTGCTTTCATTTAAATAACCACGAATAACGATATAATTTTAAGAAGAAATAATTGACATCACACAATCAAATAAAGAACAATTATATACTTTTTAAAGATCATTGACTAAGGTTTGGTGGATCAAAACACTTCCATTTGACTAAAGCATAAAACAATATTATATAAATAATATATAATAATAACAGGAAATAATTCTTGGGATTTTCTTTCGATAATCATTTAAATATAGATTGAAACGAGAGACAATAATATATAAAGAAAAGTGTATGTCAGTTCATGCCACCTCCAGATGTCGGTTGTTGTTAAAAATGTTTCTTTAAAATGCAAGATGGGCTGACTATTCTCATAGATAGTAGCTGACCAGTGGTGGTAAGGCCACGCAAGTCTTCGCTGTTGCACGTATGGGGAGGTCCGTCCGGTACGTACCACGACCTCCACAGAAGACCGGCGTGAAGTGGAAGTGTTACACATCTGCGTTACGTCTGGTGAGTGAAGTAGCCGAGGTCCACAATATGAGGATTTCGAAAATGCACCTGCAACCCTACGGGTGTTGCAAATGTCAATGTGCGGCGGTTATCACTTAACATCAGGTGAACCGCCAGCTCGCTTGCCACCTTCTCACATAAAAAAAGAAGACTAGTCGTTAAGTCATCAATAACAATCTTTAATTTCGATAAACTTCATGGCGTCTTTCAGAGTCTCTCATGGTGCGACAAACAAGTAGGTAATTAAAATAAATGTCAATACGAGTAAGCAGTAGAAATAAAAGGCAACATCCAAAAAGGGAAATCGAACATATTTAAATTTTTTCATGAAAATAATGGTAATTTAAATAGAGCGAGGAGCTGGGAACGATAAGAAACACCCCAAACGCGAGTGTTATTTAGTTGTACGTACGCAGTGGTTTGGATTCGTCATACTGATAGACAAGGCCAAAATTTGGAGAGATTGCTCACCGCTGCAGCGAAACAATTTCCGTGACTACTGATTTGTAAACAAATATTAATAAAAAATAAAATGTACAAAGTTATTTGAGTTATAGTGTAAATCAAGCGAGTGGCAACTATAAATTCTATCCTTCTGGTAGTACACGTCGTTCTTGTAAGACTGATCGGATTATAAAAATTTAAAACTTGTAATGTATACTTAGTTAGTATATTATTACTATTAGTTTTCTATAGGTCATTAAGGGACAACAGTAACTTTTGCCCATTAATCGCCAATTATTCGTTGACTACAAATGTGGCAAGATAGTCGTTTTTCCCGGTCCATCTCTACTTAAAATACATAATTATATGACGAAACAGAATACAGGCGAGATGTTTAGAAATGAATCTTTCCCTGCACTTGTACGTCGTCTGGCTTGCGTCCCATAGTTAATACATATACATAGAAAGGTGTTGGAAAAAATATAAATAAAACCTAGTTTCCTTTCGGTTCTACGTTTGACTTAATTAGTGAACTGGTGCTAGATTTTGAACTTCATAAGGCTAAGTTGAATAAAGTAATTCTGAATGAGATGTTGTCTTATCACTCTCTATCAGGTTAAAGTCAAAGGCGTGAGAGTTTATTTCTTTTGTAGCGGTAAAAGTAATCATGTATTAATACATATTAAAATATTAACCTTAATTTCATACAATTCTGGGGCTAGATTGAACAATGACTCGACGAAATCTTCATAGAATACATTCCCATCCCCTCGTACGTTTGCATCACGTAGGATTTCTAATGTTTCCTCATGACTGAATGGTTCGCCAAAACCCGTAACTAACACTTGAATCTCGTCGATATCCAAAAAGTTTCGATTCTCGCTATCAAATACCTATTGGTAAGTACAGTAAAGATTATTCTATTGATTGTAATCTAAAATGTCGCTTTTGTTATTATAAAAGTGACATATACCATTTATCATTTATCCAGCAATGCATAATCTAGCGAAATAACGATATTCATTTTAAAAGACAATAACAATGTTTCAGTTCATCAAAGATCAATCCGTATTAGTAAAATAGGAGGCATTTTTAGTATAAGCAGTAAAGCACGGTCCTGTGATTCATGCAAAGAATTATTTGTTATAATTGTCAATATTTAATAACTTAAAAAAAGTTTAATAGAAGCAAGTTGCTGAATCAGAAATATTTTCAAACATTTTTATATAATGGATCCTATCGCTGCCGCAGTGTTCCATAGAAATCATAAACAGTTTTTTTTATCATTTTTCATTGCGTTTTTATTTACAATTTTAATTTTATGATACGCTATTTATAAATTTTGTGCTGCTGAATACCTATCATTGACTGTGTACAAAATTTATTCGTTTAGGTATATACGCATTATACATATAATATTAAACGATGATGTTTTCGCTAGAAACTTTAGTCGGTCGCATTCCTAAGAATCATATATCATATAATAATTGCTATCCGAACTGCAGTGTTTATTTCAAACGAAGTAAATTACCTATGTTAAAGCGTATCTCCGAAAGTGCTTGCAGGGCAATGTATGCTGTAGTTTCAACTTTCTGTAGTATTACTTTACTCTATGAGTTTCAACTACAATTTAATGAAGTTTCAACGTCCCTTAGCGTAAAGATGAATAACGCTGTGTTGTTATATTTAAATATTAATTTTTCCAATGACAAAATTTACGCACTTACTTTAAATGCTAATTTTAATTCATGTTTAAGATTCACTTCAATAATCCATGTGTCTAACATGTACAAAAATTGTTCTTTTGTCAAAACTCTGGACGATTGAACTTTTATTTTTTCTGCTTGTTTCATAATTTCACCATAGCTTGGATAATGAAATTCTCTTTTATGAAATCTGTAATGTAACCAATTACACATTTTATATTAGGTATGTCCTCTACAACCCATTATATAATTGTCCTGATTTATGTCTGTTTACATTTACAATATGTGAAAGACTGTACTTTTTTTCTTCCAAGAACTGCATTATTTTATCAATTGTTACAACTTTGTTTGCGTCATCTGTACGGGACCCACTTAACGATTGTGAATTTTGATTAAACCACTCTACTAATTCATTCAAATGTTTTTCTGAAAATCTAGGTTTAAAATCAACATTTGGTATTTGAGTTTTAATTTTTTTTAATGCTTTCTTTCTCATACTTATAATTTAAAATAAACTTGTTAAGAATAAATTATTACAAAAATTTGGCCTTGTCAGGATGGTGCAATATATTTGACGGTTTAAAATGTCAAATCAAGTTAATCTTGATAACAATAAAATATGCATAGAAAGACTTTTATAAAAAAGTACTCATGTGAAACTAAACTATAAGACAAAGGAAGAAGAAGAAAAACTAGCTTTCTTACAATTATTAGTTAAGATTTTTTTCTTTTTAATTATATAATTACAGCGATAACATAACATGCTATGTTATGGCGAGTATATTTGTATAAGCGAGCTGCTGCTTCACCTGATGTTAAGAGATAATCGCCGCCCATTGAAAATTGCAATACCTTACCATTGTTCTAATGTGTTATCTCTTTGAGCTGAATACATGACAACGTTTAAGTAAGTTCATACATTCTATCATTTCATAATGTATTCACGAGCTATGGGTTAATTTCGATGGCAATTGGCATACACTGGAGCCCAAGTGGGCACCGTGTTTACACCTTTTATATATCTGGTTTACACTGTACGCATTTCAAATGTATGGAGTATGTGCTGCGGACCTCTTTGCTATTTTGATAGCTGATGTAGTTTTTTACTTTTTTGCTTTTGACGTTGTCTGTTCTATTACCTATTTCTTTCTGTTTGCTTGATTTTTCTGTTTTTTATTAAAAAATAATCATTCTTCAACTTGTATCATCGTTTTATCATTTGCAGAGATTAATTTGGTTTGTTCATTTCATTTTGGTCCTTCTCCAGTAATTTTCCAGCGTACCTATTTTTATTACGTAGCTTTAGTTATTCATTCATTTCGTAGTATTTGTTTTCATTTTCACTGCTTTTTTATTTCTCACTTAATGATCACTCGCAGTAAAAGTAAAATCATGCCGACAAACCCTGCGACTAGTACTAGTGTGCAAGATAATATTATGCAACCTAGTACTTCCCAACATGTAGACAGCGTTGCCCCGAGTGAGACGTCTAAGTCAAAATCATCACGCTCGTCGTCCACAATTAAGGCTCAAAAGGCCGCCGTAGAGGCCCTCGCCCTGCGCCGACGTCTTGAGCACGAGCAGGAGCTCGCTGAAAGTGAGAGGCAACGTGAACTACAGCTGGCCGAACGCGAGAGGCAACGTGAAAGTCGACTGGCAGCACTCCGTCAGCAGGTAGAGGATGGCGAACTGCAGGCCGAACTTGCCGCTCTCGACGCGGAAGCCGCGGCAAGTCGCAGCAGTCGCAGTGGTTCTGCCAGGGTAAGCGTAGAAAGAACAGAAAGATGGGTACAAAGTTTAGGACAGCCAGTATACGTTGGCGAAAATACAGTTAATAGAGGCATCTCCGCAGTAGGACGCGAACAAATAATGGTTCCGTCTCCCGGCCACCAGGCACCTCTGCCGGCCACTGGGTCAACTGCATCCCCTATTAACCGTTTTGTTCATCAGAAGCAATTTTTAAACGTCACTAAAGCGTCCGAGGCGGCCGTGCCTACGCGACCGCTCATTCCCACGGACCTTGATCAGAGTAGTCTGTTTCAGGCTGTTGCTGACACTGCAGCTGCGGCCAAGGCGCTTGCTACTTCGCACCGTCATAAACATAAGATCGAATTGTTTCCTTTCGACGGAGACGCCTTAACATGGCTACATTTTAAACGTATTTTTGATTTAACCAAAAGCAATTTTTCAGATATTGAAAATATTAGTCGGTTACAAAATGCACTTCGCGGCGCGGCCCGAGATGCAGTCGCGTCACTGTTGCTGGCTACAGAGGACCCGAACGATATTATAAGAGCTCTGGAGGAGAACTTCGCTCGCCCGGAAATTATAGTATTTAAGGAAGTGTCCGCTCTAAAAAATCTACCACGGTTGGGAAATGACTTGAAAGAGTTAATTACGATAACGAATAAAGTACGTAATTCTATATCTTCTTTTAAAATACTGAAACAAGTTGAGTACTTGCACTCTCCAGAACTATTTCACGCCGTCTTAGGAAAATTAAACCCGGTTACTAAAGTAAGATGGACGGACTTTGCTATGCAAGATACTACAGGGCGTCCTAAATTAGAGATTATGTCCGATTTTTTGAGGCGCGAGTTAGATCAACTTATTCGGTTCGGTTTATCACCGGAATCTTGCTCGATCCAACATTCACCACAAAACTCACAACTAAACAAACCGTATAAACGGGAAAATATTCACGTAGTTACACACTCCAAACCAAATTCTAAGGTGGTGTCTAAACAAAAGCCTGAATGCGCGTTTTGCAAAAAAGATCACAATATTAAGTCATGTTCTGAGTTCAAAGCCTTATCTGTTGATGAAAGGTGGGTCTGGCTGTGTGAGGTAAAAGCTTGTTATAGATGTCTTAAGCGTAGTTCACATCAGTGGAAAACATGCAAAGTTAACCCTTGTGGTGTCGATGGGTGTCCAATACGTCATCACCCGTTACTGCATGGTAAACAACCCGCCTCGCCTGTCAAACCTACGTTCGACACGCAATCCACTGAAAATAATCATGCGACTACGCATCACAAACCTGCATCTGTCGAAAAGGTAATAGTTTCTACCACTTCTACAGGTGTTCAAGAACCCAGCTCCATCTTAACTCTGTGCCCACGTGTATTTCTAAAAATCTTACCCGTTACTGTCTCGGGTCCCTCAGGAAGTTGCAATGTTTACGCACTTCTCGATGACGGTAGCACTGCTACGCTCATTGACTCAAGTATTGCTGCTCAAATCGGTGCGACAGGGCCTCACCAGAAAATAACGGTCAACGGTATAGGCGGTCTTAGTAGAAACACTACAATATCGTATGTAGATTTTTACATTAAGGGAAGGCACACACGAGACACATTTTTAGTGAAAAATGCGAGAGCTATGGAGTCTTTGTCTCTGCGTCCTCAAACTATTAGGAAGGAAACGATTGCTTCTTACGCACATTTAGCGGATTTACCTTGCAACGTAACTTACGAAGATGCTACTCCAACAGTTTTAATTGGGGCAGAGCATTGGCATTTGTCAATCAGCAGCGAGGTAAGGTGTGGTGGTAAGAATGAACCCGTTGCTTGTTTAACTGCCTTAGGCTGGGTGCTTTATGGAATCGCGACCAGTAAAAGTAAATTAGTGGAGTTTGTTAATCACAGTGTGTGTATCGAACCTTCTGATGAGGAGAAATTGGACTCTTATTAGGGAACAATACAACATTGATTCGTTAGGTATTTCTAAAAAAGACACTCTGCATTCGAAGTCAGATAAACGTGCAGTCGAGATTTTAGAAAAAACTACTAGACGTCTTCCCACTTCTGGTCGGTTTGAGGTTGGTATGCCGTGGCGCGATATACAGCGCATTCCCGATAGCTATCCTCAAGCCATGTCACGATTTTTAAGTCTAGAGAGGCGCATGTCTAAAGACGCTGACTTTGCCAAAGCATATGACGTGTTCATTTCAAACATGATCGCTAAAGGTTATGCAGAAGAATGTGGTCCTGAGTCATACTACGCCAACCACATTAAAGATAAACAATCTTCTTTTATGAGGCTCTATTTACCCCATTTTGGCGTGTACCACCCTCAGAAATGTAAGCTTCGTGTAGTTCACGACGCCGCAGCCACGAATGAGGGCGTCAGCCTAAACTCTTTGTTGCTACCTGGTCCAGACCTACTTCAGCCCTTGTTAGGTATTTTATTTCGGTTTCGCGAGGGCCGTATCGCTCTCACTGCTGATATCCGGGAAATGTTACCGCAAATAAGGATCAGGGAGCAAGATCGGGACGCCCTCCGGTATATCTGGAGGTCAAGCAGAAACCAACCTATAAAAGGGTTTAGGATGACAGCCGTCATTTTCGGTGCGTGCTGCAGCCCATTTATAGCGCAATTTATTAAAAATAAAAACGCTCGTGAGCACGAAAGTTTATTTCCTAAAGCAGCTCATGCTATTTTGTACAATCATTATATGGACGATTATGTTGACTCTCTCGATGACATTCAAGAGGCAGCACAACTAGCGGCAGATATTGTTGCCGTTCACAATGATGTCTGCTTCGAGATGCGAGGCTGGATTTCCAACGACCCATCAGCGCTAAGATTTATTCCTGCTGATCGTAGGGCCACTCGCTAAGATTTTTTCCTGCTGATCTCTCAACCGTCGTCGGAAATTAATCATGGCAGCTACTCTGCCAACAATATTAGAGCGTTAGGAGTATGGTGGAATCCCACAACAGATAATTTAGGGTTCCGTTCGGGCTTAGGTGAAACATTTCCAAACCCTCTCACAAAACGCAAAGTTCTTTGGCACCTCATGCGTATATACGACCCGTTAGGCTTATTAGCTCCAATAGTTGTTAAGGGTCGAATTTTATTTCAACAAACGTGGAGGTCTAATGTCGACTGGGACACCGAGTTCCAACCCACGGAAGCATTAAGGTGGTCTGATTGGTTTCAGGAGTTGTCAAAAGTAACTTCTTTGGAAATTCCGCGTTGGTATTCTAACTCTAAAAACTCTGAACCAACTCAGAGGGAGTTACACGTTTTTGCTGATGCAAGTGAGCTCGCGTACGCATGTGTCGCTTATTGGCGCCTTTTGTACTCAGACGGCAGCATCGAGCTTTCTCTCATCTCTAGTTAGGCAATAGTTACACCCTTGAAACCTACCTCTATCCCACGTTTAGAACTCCAGGCCGCTTTAATAGCTTCTCGTCTCGCGGTCACCATTAAGGACAGTCATAGAAAACAACCGGCACATACTTTCTTTTGGACCGATTCTATGACAGTCCTTCATAGATACGTAGTGACGCGCGCTCTTTTAAGCCTTTTGTTGCCCATCGTTTAGGCGAAATTATTGAAAACTCTTGCGTCAGAGACTGGCGATGGGTACCAACAGACTTTAATGTTGCCGATGACGCCACCAGAATGCGATCAATTAACCTTGACGCGTCCCACAGATGGTTTCGCGGTCCATCTTTTCTTTTTAAATTCATTGAGGACTGGCTAATAGAGCCAAGGTATGCCTCACCAAACATCGATGAACTTAAGACCAATAGTTATGAGTTGGTCGGACTAACTTCCTTTGTCGAAGAGTTACCGACTCCGGTCACAGGCATTTTTGCTAATTTTAGTAATTGGCAGCGCTTATTACGTGCCACAGCCCGGGTACTTCAAGCTGCGGCAAAGTTTGGTGTAATTTTGGCTTCCATTAGAAATTCTTAATTGAAAGGCAAAGTTGTTTGTGCCCGCCATCCTTCAGCGTCCACTACTCTACCACCCCTTAGTGCGGATTTAATAAAGGCCGCTGAAAGGCAAATTCTGCAACGAACACAGATCGAGAGCTTTTCCATAGAATTTCTTCATATCCTGAACTCGAAGCTTATTCCTCCGAACAGTCGTCTCAGAAAACTGTCACCCGCTTTGGGAGAGGACAAATTACTGCGGTTAGCCGGAAGAATTAAAGCCGCAGAAGGCATTGACCCAGACACACGCTTCCCCATCCTCCTTGACGGTCGTCACCCAGTTCTACGTTTATTGGTACAATTTTATCATCGAAAAGCGGGTCACGCAAATTATGAACAAGTCGTGAACGAATTAAGACAAAAATTCTGGTTATTAAGGCTGAGGAACACAGTGCGAACAGTAGCAAAACAGTGTCTACTCTGCAGAATTAGAAAGTCCTTGCCGGTGAACCCGAAAATAGGAGATCTGCCACCTGAAAGATTAGCTCACCATCGACGGCCCTTTACTTTTACGGGCCTGGACTACTTCGGCCCCGTAATCGTCACTATCGGGAGCAGGCGTGAAAAACGTTATGTGGACCTTTTCACCTGTTTAACTGTCAGAGCCCTTCACCTAGAGATGGTACATAATCTATCGACTGACTCTGCTATCATGGCTATTAGAAGATTTATTGCAAGACGGGGCTCTCCAAACACTATTTTCTCGGACAACGGAACCTGCTTTGTTGGTGCCAATCGCATTCTCAGAGAGTTCTACGGAGAAAATGTCGAAGATTTTACAAGCACTCAAGGAATACTCTGGAAATTCACCCCACCTACGGCACCTAATTTTGGAGGAAGTTGGGAGCGCTTGGTGCGATCAGTAAAGGTGGCTCTCAACGCGACATTAACCGAACGAGCTCCAAAAGAAGAAACCCTGAGCGTTTTACTAGCCGAGGCAGAAGCCATTGTCAATTCACGTCCATTAACTCATGTATCTACAGATCCTGACGACCCGACAACACTCACACCATTTCATTTCTTAATCGGTTCATCGTCCGCGCAGACCCTACCTACTACCTTCAACGATCACGATTTGATCAGCCGTTCCGAATGGAGGAAAGCATTGAGGCTAGCGGATCATTTTTGGTCGCGTTGGATGCGCGAGGTTCTCCCAACCCTACAACCACGTGAGCAGTCAAGAGGCAACCGCAGTTCAACAGCTCTTCAAGAGGGTGACGTAGTAATTATTGCTGACTTCAACTTGCCCCGCGGAACATGGCCACGAGGACGTGTTGCGAAGTTGTACCCTGGAAAAGATGGCGTGATAAGGGTAGTGGACGTTGAAACAGCAGGGGGAATGCTACGCCGACCCGTGCGAAAGCTGGTTAGACTCTCCACCTAAGGCCTTGACTGACCTTGGTTTGCATAACCAGTTTGTGCTTGGCTGCACGAGGGGGAGGATGTTGCGGACCTCTTTGCTATTTTGATAGCTGATGTAGTTTTTTACTTTTTTGCTTTTGACGTTGTCTGTTCTATTACCTATTTCTTTCTGTTTGCTTGATTTTTCTGTTTTTTATTA